TGGAGGTGAATAAATGCCGCAAAACGTGTAACTAAGCACTCCGTGCGGATTGCCTGACTTGAGCTGGTGATTTTAACATAGACATGCTTGCGTCCTCCTCACATAAAATTGAATTGTTGACTTTATATCAGTTATACGGACTCTTCAACGTTATTGCCCAGCCTACTCGCATGACACCCCGAAATACGGCGTTGTTGATTTATTTTTAACAAATATTTCAGAAACGGACATAGTTGCTGGAGTGGTTGGGGAAACTATTAGTGACCACCTTCCAAGATAGATGGTTACAAATGTAGACTATAGCTCCAAAAAAATATGTGATGATCAGAATTATTTTAGAAATATAAGCGCAAGAAACCTTGATCTTTTTCAACAACAGATAAGTTCCGAAGTCTGGAGTGCGGTGCTGTCTAGCGTGTCTGCTGACGAAGCATTTAATTGTTTTCTTGAAAGGTTTATAATCATACATGATCGCTGCTTTCCTTATGAATTGCATAGGGTTCCTCGAAAGTCTCGTAAACCCTGGGTTACATCCGAAATAAAAAAATAAAAAAATAAGAAAAATAATCTCTATCACAGATTCGTGCACCCTAAAGATGGTAACATCGTGGTTGCATTTAAGAAACATAGAAATGAATTAACAAAAACTTTAAGGCAGGCTAAACGCGTGTATTTCTATAATTTATTTAAATATCACAAGAGATCCGAGGTAGTACGGAAAAAGTAAATGAGTTAATAAAACAAGGTGGCATGCGGATAAAGTAACAGATATAAAAATCGAAGGTATCGTCGTAGAAGGGGTTGCTTTGACCAAAAAGTTTAGTGATAATTTTGCTACACTTGTCCAGAGTGTACACTGCGCGAATACCGTTAGGTATGTCCAGAAGGTTTCACATAGTATGTTTCTGTTTTCAACTGACGAACATGAAGTATTTTCTGTTTTCCAAAGCTTAAAAAAATAGTAAGTGCTCCGATGTACATGATTTTCTAATTAAACCTAACAAGCATGTTTTGTGGTCGATTGTTCCTTGCTTAACACATTTTTAATCTAGCAATTAAGAACGAAATTTTCCCCCAAAAAATGCAGGTGGCAAAGGTATTTGTGCTATATAAAGCTGGAAATAAAAACAACCTCGAAAATTATAGATCGAATTCTGTATTTCCGATATTTTCAAAAGCTTTAGAAAAAATAATACATCACCGGCTGTATAGTTTCTGCGTAAAGTTTTTGTATCTTAACGCCCTGTCAATACGGATTTAGGCGGGGCTTCTCTACCGAAATTGCCATGTCAAAACAAAAGGAATTAATTTTAAACAATATTGAAAAAATGTATTAACACTCGGAGTATTCATAGATTTTTTGAAGGGTTTGACCGGATCAATTATGACACATTACTTCCAAAGCTGATCTTTATGACATTCGTGGTGTTGCTCTCAATATGATCAGAAGTTATCATCTTAGTTATCAATATCAGTGCGTTGAAATAAATAAAAAAAGCAATCGGATCTTAGGAAACAGATTGCCGGCGTACCGCAAGGGAGCATTCTGGGACCACTTTTTTTTAATCTATACATTAATGACATCGGAAATATTGATAAAAAGGTAAGTCTCATACTTTACGCTGATGATACCAGTATATTCTTTTCAGCTGATGACACTGATCACATTATAAGTACCGCAAATAATGTTTTGGAAAAGTTAAATGCCTGTACAATTTCAAATTCATTAAAATTAATGGTAGTAAGACAAAAGCCTATTATTTAGATCACGTAATACAAACTGTTTCTATACGTCCAATCTTTCTCTTGGAACATACTGTATAGATATAGTTGAAAGCGTAAAAGTTCTCGGAATTATATTTAATCAATACATGTCATGGAGCCAGACTGTGCAACAGATATGTCAAAAATTATCAAGAATTGTAGGTATTACCAACAAATATCGCCAGATCATCCGAATTTTGGTTATGATTCTCATATATAATTCCCTCTTTTATATAATTTTATATACTCAAGATATAATTATCGCTTCTCGGTATGAGGGAATGCGACCGCAACAAACCTAAAACTGATGCATACTCTACAAAAAAAGCTGTTCTTATTACATGTAATACTCAGTATAATAGTCATACTAGCTCATTATTTAGTAAATTGAATATTGTACAGATTCCTAATCAGTATTATTATAAACGTTTTCTTGCATTGAAAATATCTTTTGGCCAAACAGAACGTATATTCATATCTATCTCCAACCTTAAAATGAGGGAGGTTACAACTAGGTCTGAAGACACATGGTTAGTGCCGCACTCAAGAACGAACTACGGTAATCGGACTGTGAAATATATAGTGCCTCGTTTTCTGTTTTTTTTTTCTTTTTTTAAATCGCCCGAGTGAGTTGAATGTAGAAGTTTTGAATGAAACCATAAAAACGTGCGTTACATGTTTGTGAGAGAGTGCCCCTGGAATTTGTAAACTTGGCTGAATCGATTACTTTTCACACTTTCCCTCCTCCCTCATCTAATGTTGTTTATTTTTGCGCTATAAGTGGAATGGTGAAAAAAAAAAAAAAAACATTTTGTGTTTGTGCATGCTGTACTCTTTCGCTGCTGTGGGAAGGCAGAGGCTCGTCAAGCAACAACTGAGTTGTCTTTTTCTCTGTCTCCCCTTTCCCAAGCGGAGAGAAATAAAGAGTTTGAGTTTGAGGTGGATTTCTAGATGTGCTATCTGACTCGATATTTCGAATTAATCCGCTCGACAACCGGCATTGTCTTTGGATTTGATGCGATGATTATCTGGAGTTAGAAACGTTTTTTCGCACTCTCGCTGCGCTCTGCTCCGCGGATATAACTCGATCGAATCAGGTTTCAATGTCGTTTGAGCGTTAAAGGAATGAGCGTTTCGTCCGCTCCGCCGGTTGCAGGGCAAACTGGCGTTTGCGCGTCATCGCGGAGCTGCCCAAGATAGTTGTTCTATTTTGACCGGTGTCTATCCCCGCTTCTAAAAAACTTCCTACTCAAGAAATAAAAGAATGAACGTACATCACAAGAAAAGGTTATCCGTGTGGTGTTTATTTGTGTTCTATGTAGAACAGTACAGCACATTCAATCGACGAGAACGAGCATCAGCTCGCGACTAGCAATGGACCTTTTCCGAGAAGCGTTCTGCGCACGCGCGAGCGCCCGATGCCAAGCAGTGGAAGTCGGCACGAAGATTCGAGGAAATTCGGAATGAGGCTGTAAATCGACGAGTAGAACACGTAATTGCAGCATATATATAATTGTGTTACACAAAAAAATAAAGTGGACGGAAAGAAAAACACGACGTTTGGGTGGACGCTACGGATTTCCCTCTTTAAAGTCGCGTTAGGCCTACCTCGTTGCGTTGGGCACGCGACGCTGCTCAGAGAGCGAAGCAACTGGTAACGTAGCTCCCATTATCGATGGTAGCGCAGGTAGGTCACTTCCTCGATTTTTAGTTCGTGCAGCCACCGCCTGGTGCCGTCGGTATTTGGAAAAGGTCCATTGCGTACGACACTGCTCAAACTACAGCCAGCTTGTACAGAAGGCACATTCCTTGGACACCGCAATCGTTTTCATCACTTCGACGAGGGAACCGGAACGAAGCTGATTCTCGAAATTAGGTCAGCTATTTATGCGGGAAGGGTTCACCTGAAAATTAAGAAGTAGGTCAGGGTGGGGGAGGGGCGGGCGGGGGGGGGGGGGAGGGGGGGGGCGGGGGGGGGGGGGGGGGCTTTTAGTTTAGCTTTTGTGTAGGAGAGAAGCTCGACGAAGCTTTCGCTTCTGTAATATTGAGGCGCGTAAATAACGTAAAAAAGGAAAAAAAAGGTTGAAAACTGTCTTTTCCAACTTGCTTTCACTTAAAGCTTGCCGCAATATCAGAACGTTAAATTTTGTTATTCTAGTTCCCGTTTTTGTTTATCTCAAACTATCAACGGAGGCACGTACTAAAATTGCCTAATGCTAGAATGATACAATCACTCGCATAAACATTTGATACATTTTTTTAAACAGTTGGTAATGTGGCGCGCGACAACAAAGCACTCAGAGTTGGTAATAACTCAGTCACGCGAGGCTACGCCGGCGGCGCTGCCGATTTTAACCGTCCCAGTGTTGACTCATTTGGCCATGGTGGCGCTGATGATGAACCAATGGTAGCGCGCTCTGAAACCTTGCCCAGCGCCTATACGATCTTACCGTGAAACGCGCGCCTCTGCAGCTACTTGTCTGCTTCACTAATAGATATTACCTAGTTTCCTACACTCTTAAACAGCGCAAGCGGAGGTGGAGATGACGAGAGTAACATCACCGTGTGTTCACGCAAACCATCTCAACTGCGCTGCCTGGACGATCATATTTCTCAAACAAAATTGATTTTGGCTCGAGCTGTTCAGCTTTGTTTGTTCTCCAAAGGCATACAGATACGTTGAACACCCCAATAAAATTAAAAGCCTGTGCACTTAAACTTTTTACGTCGCAACGGTAAAATAGAGTGCAGACACAGACTACAAACTACTGCGGTGTTTGCGTCTAAGTAGACCTCGTGTTCAATCAACGTGTAGGAGAACGCTCTGAGTCGGGCCCGTGTCCAGTTGCTGATTTGACGTCATCCTACTGTATTGACGTTGAGGGAAGTTAGAGCAGGCTGGGACCCGGGCCTTTAATATTCTAGGCGGTGCATGTACATGTCGTATTCCTGCGAAAGAACGCCTAAGTTAGCGGATAAAACCGATGGCGTCGTTCCATCAGAATGAAGGTGAACAACTCAAAGCAATGAAAACCTTAACTCACATTCATCTCTAGAATTTGTCTTGAAAGTTATCTGCTGCCCAAACAAAGCCAGAGGATTGAGAATGTAGCTCGATGAAACAGTTTGTTCTCACGTAAGTACGCTACTTTCGAAATATACTTTCGCATCAATACCGAAAGCTTTTTAGGTGTAACGTAAGGCTATCAATTGCTGCCTGTGTTACGTGAACTCACCACCAGAGTCAAAGACTGCGCTGCTGTCATTCTTGAGGCAATCCAACATGGCCTCTTGAAGAGCGCTGAGCTGCATTTTGGAGTCTTGATCGGCCAAGATAATCTGCATATAAAGAACACCGAAGAAAATGTCAGTGTGATCACCCGGTTCTTTAATAAACATTCTTTGTTTCAAGCACCCAAAGAAACCAAAATTATTAGTGAAAACAACACGGCAGCAAACAAACATATGGGCCAAACGACAAGATTGTTTTCCAACATTTATCTTGTGCTGCAGAAAACTCATCACCGGCATTGCGGCAAAACGGTGTTGCTTTCATTTAAAGCGGCAGAACTACTTCACGGAAACCTGAATAGAGCAAACACGTGTCCGTGGGAAAACGACTTCCGTGCTGGGCGCGTTGTCTTGAAACATTAGGGACAGTTTGTTTTCCGGGCACGGCCTAGATAAGGTCCCGTGTCGTGTATCGACCGTCGTCGCTTTTGCTGTTGCTGCGCCGTCGGGAACAGATCTGTATTTGTAACCGAGGTAGAGAAAAACCTAGAAGGCATGAGGGGCCGGAACAAAAATAAATGGAAAAAGAAAGAGAAAGATATAAAAAGCTTTCTGGATTTGAATAAGGTATCACTGTTTGATTCAAGACTACTCTTAACTTTCGTGGCGGATACGAGCCCGCTAACCGGAGTCCCAAGCAGCACACTTCCACGGCCCCGGCTTGGGCCAGGCTGGCGCGAGCTAGAACGAAATTGGCTCAAGCCTGGCCACAGCTCGAGCCAAGCTGGCCAGAGTATGAGCCGGGCCTAGTGCTACTAGGGTAGTGAAGCAACTAATTACATGAATTTAGGTTTCTGGAATTAATTACAAATTTAGTACCTTAATATAATGCAAGGTTCAATATCATGTTAGCAAACGTAACTTTGGCTTACTTGCATTTAGGTGTAATTTGCGATGTGGAAACAGTTACGTTTAAATATTCTCGATGATCTCCTCGGGTGGGGGCACTGTTGTTCACGGAAGACATTTGTGCATTCTGGCAAGCGTGTGCGGAATCAGAACCTAGGCAATACTAGACCGGCTTTGAGCGGAAAAAGAGCAACGTCTATGAGCCTCGCACTCCGGCCGTGGAACTTTCGGGATAGTTTCAAAAAGCTGCCACTTGTTAGTGTGGAATTCATCATGCACAATACCCGTCTATCAAGTGGTGCAGCAGTTCAATGACCACAGGATCTTGCCAGACTGAAACGTTGAAATGATCCTAAAGAGTAACAACACATTTTATGATGTTAGTCTTCACAACTTTAATTCCAGATGTCTTTTGACGGCGCAAACCTGTTTCTAGGTAATTCATTTCGCATCATATGTGGCGATGACAATGGTCTTCGTTTAGATATACTTGCCTTTGTAATAAATACTTATTTTGTTGTTTCAATGTATTCTACTTACGCATATACAAGCTTGGTTACGTTCTATTGCGGGTGTTCATGCACTGCACTATATTACGCTCACAAATCAGCACTATTTTGACTGCTGTATATAGAGACACGAGATCTACGCCAATGCCTTGAAACATGCAGTGAGTTGCAAGTAAAAGAAAACAGGTCTAAACAGGAGACTGAACGGCACGTCGGTAATCACACCCCCTGTGTCCCCTCTTTAAGTGATACAGTATAGTTAACTTTACTGCAACTTAGTTACATTTAATAGCGGTAACGTTAACTGGTTACAATTGTAAGAACGTAACTCTAATTGTAGCTTAATTGCAACTCACCTCAACGGATAAAACATAAACTTTAACGCAATTAATTTCGAATAAATTTGTACCCCTCTATCGCTAGGGCATATCAGCCATATAGAGAATCGGGGGAAAATGTTTCCCGTGTTTTTATAGACCTTTCCAAAAATCGCCTTCTGAACGCTGTCATCTTTGTTTGTTGGGTTGTGAAACGCTTTCTGAGCTTGCGCTGTAGATCTGTTGTGCGGTATATGAAACAATGCGCATCCTTCCACAGCTCAGTGACTCGGCAGTTTTCGTCTAGGTGGTAAGCATTGGAAAGGTCTGTGCTCAAAGTAAAAATGCCAAATACAGATCTGTTCTACCTGTAACATCATTTTCATCGACATTGGGAAATTCCGTCTTAGATATTGGGGCAAGACCGCTAACCAAATTTAATAAAAATATATCCCAAAACTGATTATTAGTTGTCACCTATTAGGGATATCAATTCTTTGCGGCATCCGGTGAAATCTGAGGGCCGCGTGCCAACGTGACTACGAACCAACAGAACAACTTGTATGGCGCTTGAGCCTAGACTTCAAGGGTGTAAGGCGTTAGCGTTATGGGGTCCCGTTAGCAAAGCCTTTTCATAGCTCTAGCTCGTTCCCAAGCCATGCAAGCGTGTGTGCGAGGCCTAGTCGGTTCGCTAAGTTTGGCGGGAAACATTTCGCTTAATTGAGCGGAAAGTTTTTCCGACAAATTGAGCGGGTTCATAGGGTCATGATGTCGCAGCCATGTGTGACGTCACACGCGTGACATCACACGTGGCTGCGCTCGCTGCTTTATGGGATTTTCGGTTCTGCCGACGCCGACGTCGACGCCTGATTTTCCAGCAATAGGAGCTCCTAAACGATATCGCGTTAAAGGAGTGCAGCTAGAGTTGCTCAATGCACCCCACTAGCGATTGACCGAACGTCGCTCACAGTCCGCAATCAACAAGCGTATGCGGAAGCTTTGCTGCAGAAGATTGATTGGGTCAACAAGACGCTGCTTCAACATGTAGGTTAGCGGTACCGGTTCTTTGATTGCTTACGGGCTATACGGAGAGCCACTCGTCTGCTTCTTGTGTGGGGGTTGCAGTCACGACAAAACGACGCCGAGTTCTGCTTTGTTTGATTGGAAGGATAATTGGTAGACCTCAATGCTAGATGTCCTGAGGTCTACTATTTTTTTTCGATCAGTCAATAAGAGCTTGGCGTTCTGAAATAATCGCAACCCCTATACAAGAAGCAGACGAACTTGCGCTCCGCATTGTGATTGACAACCTAGGAAACTCAGGTTGTAGCTTCTTTTGATCACGCCTGTTGCTTATTGATTCGTAATCCTGGGACTTTATTTGGCTCACGAAGCAAATGCAATAAAAAAACAGTGAGTGCGCAGGCAAACTGGTGGATGTTGATCATGATGTAGAATACCCGAGACTGCGGTAGAAGCTGCGGTAAACTTGGTCGAAGAAAAAGACAAGGGAAAAGAACGTCTCAAACTCGGCTATTGCGCTTATTTACTCAAAGCCGTACATATCCACAACCCAATCACTGACCAACGACGTACAAAGTCAACCTTTGTTATACAATTCTACCCACACTGATCTTCACCTGAACCGTAAATGGTGACCTCAATCCCGAATTGAAAACTTGAGACCTTGAACAAAACAATCCCACCGACCCACTTCCTTCCCAGCCGGAGTCCGAAAGGGCTGCGCTTTATCTAAGTGAGAACTGATATGTCCTCCAACTAAACCCTTGCCAACCAAACCGTGACCAAGTTTCCCAGCTCTTTCCAAAGTCTCGTGTAGTCTACATCTGGAGCAAATGCACTGTTTGCGGAGCGAAAAGGAGGTGCCCAGAATTCGCCAAACCCTGCCTTTCTGACGCTTTCAGCGACGTCATATAGAGTCAATAGACCCTTTCCGAAATTATGAAATGATATGTAGATTATGCGCAGCAGCCGTTAGTTGGTATCATCGCTTCTGCCGTCAAGCCCGTCATCGGTTCCCAACTCCGAATGCTGACGAAACGTTCGTGTCCAATGTGTGCTCGCAGTGCATGACCAACTAATGGCGGCCGCACATAATTCATTTGTATCATTTCGAAATTTCGACAAGGGTCTATTGCATATTAAGAAACTCACGGCCCGGCTCATCTTTCTCGTGCGTCTTGCTTTTTTTTACTGTTTTTTTTTTTATATTCCGCCGTTTGATTTGCAGCAGTGAGATACAAGATACAAAGGGAGTTGAAACGCCCTGCCTTCCCGTGAGCTCTCAGTTACTATAGTACCATTTGTGTCTGAAAGGTGTGGGCACCCTAGCGGCTCCCCAGCTCAGTTGCCCGACTACCGGGCGCAAGGGGCGAACTTTTCCACGTGGCGACGGAGTCGAACCGGCCACGCACATCGCTCGCGACCCCTAGATAAGACGGATCAGAGGCGGCGTGGAGGCAGTCGCCGGTAAGATCCAAGCGCCGCCGGTGCTCGTCGGCTTTCTTTTAGTCTTCATCGTCTCGTTTATGTCCAATTAAATATATTTTCTTGTTGTTGAATCCAGTAGCTCCGAGTTATTCCTCTTGGTCGGGTATGCATCAAGGCAAACCGACCACGAAAGACACCAATTTTTGTACGCCGAGTGGACCAAAACACTTTGGTCGTACCTGACGAAATTGACCTACGCACACTACAAGTTTGTATCTGTAAATCTCGGGGGAGTGAATCATGTATCGCGACTTGAACCGCGACTTCTAACGAGAAAGTTATTTGTTTTCGGCATGGCCACCTGACCCCTTACGTCGGTCAATTGGAATGGGGAGCTACTCAAAAAGGACCCGCGCTCCGGTGATGACACTCTATATTTTTCATTAAATAAAAATATTTACGAGTATACACTTATTCAGAACACGACATGATGAAGAACAGAAGAACAACATAGTATGATATCTTACAATTTCATCATAGTCATTGTCACTGCGCACACTGTATTCTGTAGAAGCTAATCGTATTAGGGTATTCGCCGTTGGCTGGGGTTATTCTATTCGCTCTATCGTAAACCGAAAACACGAATTCACAAACCCTTTTCTTTTGTGTCCACAGGGTCGTAACGCGTCTTCCTTTACCTTTTCCGTCTTAGATACATTAAGTTTCCCCCGCCAAAATGCATTCAATATTAACAGTAATTGGCAACGTAAAAATGCCCGGAAATACAGGGTTTACAAGTGTGTTCATTTGCGGCCTTTAGGCGACATTCTGGCAAGAGGTTCTTATACACACTGGATGCTTAGGGGGGAGCTCCAGGAAAATTTTGATAGGCACTGATTTGCTTAAATAATTGATTCAAAATATTAAACAAACATCTCAATTCATCGCCCAAATCGCTCTGCTATCGTTTGTTTTTCAGGAA